TGTCTGCACAATCTAATGTCAGTATATAGCCAATCTAGGTCCTTACCCCCCCCTTTACTTATTTTCTATGAGATATATAATTTTCCACCCTTTACTTTCAAGTGACTTTTTACAATTTAAAACGTATGTTTCATAGAGACAGCACATAGTTGAATTTTTCTTTTATATTAAAGTAATATTGCCTCACAGCTCTGCTTCAGGTGTTCATTCTTGTAAATTGTCAAATATATATCCTATATTAAGCTGGTCATTAACATGCCAAATCCATCCTTCACTATACCATTGTCCTTATTCTTTCTGATATAGAAAGTCCCTTCATCCTTTCCCTTCTGGTAATCATTAATTGGCACTATAGGCCAAATGTTTATTTTTGTCTTATTTAGGTCATCAGTTTGTGTGTTTACTCCATAGGTCACATATGGAAGACAATTATACGTTGTATATCTTTTCCTGTTTGACTTATTTCACTGAATGTAATTCTCCCTAGGTCCACCCATATTATTGCAAAAGACAGTATTTCACCTTTCTTCTTATAAGTGAATAGTATCCCATTGTGTATATATACCACATCTTCTTTAGCCATATATCACTGAATGGACTTTTAGGTTGTTTACAGTTCTTCGCTATTGTAAATGGTATTGCAATGAACATGGGTGTGCATATGTCTCTTCAAATAGCATTAAAAAAATACCCAGAATAAAGATAGAGAATAACTGGATCATATGTAATTTCTATTTGTAATTTTTTATGGAAATGACCTACTGATTTCTATAATGGCTGTACCAATTTACATTCCCACCAATAGTTAAATAGGCTCTCTTCTTTCCATAGCTTCTCTAATACAAGTTTCTTTTTTTTAGATAGTAGCCATTCTCACAGGATGAGGTGATTGCTCATTGTTTTCATTTACATTTCTCTAGTAAGAGATAATAATATGTATACCTGTTGGTCATCTGTATGTTTTCCTTGGAGAAATGTCTATATAGTGGATCTTGCTTTTTAATTCAGTTCAGTCTTAACACTCTATACCATTTGGTTGAATTTTTAATCTATTCTACTTGATTTTATTGATATGGTTATATTTTGTCTTCCACTCTGTTTTCTATATGTCTCATGATTATTTGTCCCATATTTGTCTCTTACTACTTTTCTGTATTTATTTTCTTGTGCATTTTTTTCATTTCTTTATTGATTTTAATGATATTTTGAGGTATATTCTTTAAAAAAAGATTTATTTATTTATTCATACAGAACTGGGGTACAGGCCAGAAATGCAGAGGGTGAGAGGATTCACCAGAGACAGAGTGGGGAACAGAACAGGCAGATCGACGAGGTACACTGCTGAGGGGAGCAGCGGGCGGGTCAGGAGAGGTCTGCCACGCCATGTGGATCTCTTCCCGGGCAGGCGGGGATCGAACTCAAGCGGAAGTGGCTTAAGCTTCTTAGTGCTGTGCATTAACCCGCTGCATCACCAGGGAGGGCCTATTTTGAGGTATATTCTTAATGGTTGCTCTTAACTTTCCAATAATTAGCTTCAGACTTCAGGTTTATGCTAACATTATTCTAAAATATTTGCATTTTGATTTGATTTTAATATTTTATTATCTTTGTTATATAAGTTACATTTCCTCATGCCTGTTATCTTATGACTTTAGGACTCATATTCATAGATCCAGATACAAAGCGTTTCAAGTCTTAGAGTAGTTAAAATGTCAAAGATTCTTTTAGTGGTATTTGTCTAATTTCCAGTGAGCAGCTTGTATCACAAAAGGCATATCTTTATATTTCTTCATGAACAAAATAACTTGGACAGAATTCTTAGTGCATTATCTAAACAGGATGTGATTATTATTACCCAAGAAATTATCAGAATAGTGGAGGAATTATTAGCTGTGTGCTTTGGGGCATGCCACTTAATTTTGATGTTCCTGAATTTTCTTAAGTTTAAAATAGGAATAATAACAGCAACTACAAAATGGAGTTATTGTGCAGATTAGGTAAATAAGTATAGGTAAAACACTTAGCATATTGCCTAGCACATAGTAATGTTCAAGGAAACTTTTATGTGATCATCAAAATCATAATTATTATTATATTTGTGTATTACTGTGTACCAAATATTTATTCAAGGTTTCTGTACACTTTACAGAACTTATTAATAATAACTTATTTTTTCTTAGCTCTGCCTATAGCAATGAGAACTTGCTATTATCTAAGCCTGTTTATTTCGCTACAAGGAAATTCCAGTGGTTCAAGAATTAACTAAGAGGCAATGGTGTGCCGTGTGAAGGATTAAGCTAAACAACTTCATCCAGTCTGTGTTTGCAAAATGTTTACCGCCTGTTCAGAGATATAATGCACAGTGTAAGAATAGGTTTGCAACTTGACCTTGTGCCCCTTCCTCCCATTGAAGCAAAAGAAGACAATTAAAAAAGAGAGGGTGCAGGATTCAGGATCTCCTTTTTGTTTCTGAAAGGCTTCAAGGCATCTGCTAATGACTGCAAAATTAGTAAAAGCTGCCTAATTCAATGCCCAGGTTTAGATAGATACTGTGTTTAGTTTGAGAGTATGAGAATTATCAAAACTACTAGCTGGATCCGAGTCATAGGCATAGTGAAAAATGTTGGTTACATTTGGACTACTTCCAAGGAAACTAGCATAGTGTTGAGTACCTGGCACATGGGAGGAATTCACTGTCAGTTCTTTTTAAATTTAATTTAATCATATATACATTTTACATCATTCTTCCTTTTTGTACAATGCATGCTTTCTCCTCTAAGGTGTTGTCCACACAACGTTCCCACTACCAATTCATGGGTGCATCGTCACCATAGTCCCTGTGTAAGAACACACCCCTTCCTATATTTTGACCCCTCTCCCTTCCCTGCCCTGCAGAGTGTCTCAGATCTGACCTTTTGATGTTGTTGGTAAAAAGAAAAAGTATTTGGATTTGGATTTGTGGTGTGAAGTTTCCAAATATTGGGCTGTTCTTATTTAAGACTGTAAATGATCCATTGGGACTTAGTTATACTTCAGAATTTTTTCCTTTTTGAACAGATAAAAGTGACATACATCTTCCCCTAGGTATATATTACTTTTTCCTTCTAGTGGCAAATTAATGAGCCATACAATGAAAGATTTTTAAAAAGAACTATATTGGCCCTCCCTGGTGGCACAGCGGGTTAAAGCACAGCACTAAGAAGCTAAACCCACTTCAGCATGAGTTCCATCCTCGCCTGCCCTGGAGGTGACCCACACGGTGTGGCAGACCTCCACGGACCCAGCCGCTATTCCCCTCAGCAGTGTACTTCATCAGTCAGTCAGCCTGTTCTGCTCCCCACTCTGTCTCTGGTGAATCCTCTCATCACCCCTACACCTCTGACCTGTACCCCAGTTCTGTATGAACAAATAAATAAATCTTTTTTTTAAAGAACTATATTACAGGAATATAAACCAACTGTTTAATGGCAATATTTTTCTCTTGTAAACTGACAACAGCTCCAGACTCAGAGTGGGTGAGTGGCTACTTGGGGAGATAAAGTAATGTCAGCAATTGACAGGAATTATACATACGGTGAGGTAAGTAGAAAGGAGAACAGAACGAGCAGAGACTGGGATGGAAGAGAACGCAAGCAACAGAGAAAATACTTTTGACCCTCATTCACAAGTAATAACCTTTGTATCAGTTTCATACATATTTTTTTATGCCATCTTCACTGTGAATGAGACAAGTCACAATAGAGCTGGAAAAGGGGGAAGAATAAGTAAATATGAAATAAGTCCTTTTTTGGACACAACTTAATTTGCAGGCTGAAGTTTTGAATCAGAGAATTCCATAAATCTTCAAGGGTATGACTCTACCCAGAGAAAGAAAACGCCTTATCTCTGGCCCAACAGTTTTATCCCAGAGGTGGGGGATAGACAGTAGGCTGTTGATGGTGGTTTTGGCAGTGGGTGGAGGTAGAGGAGAGAGTCTGGGGGCTCTGATGGAGGGTAAAGTCTAGAAATGAAGTTACAGATGAATGAATTTCTGCCATAAATTCAGATCAGAGAGAGGGAAGGAAAAAAAATTGGGGAAGGAGGGAGGCAGTGTACCTGCTAAGGGAGTACTTATACTTCTAAAACACAACTAATGCTGTAAACTAACCTAACCTCAATTAAAAAATCAAACAAAATGGTGTGAATCATCAAAGAAGCCAATCTATAGGAAAAAAATGCTTACCCAGGTGGGTGGAAGTATACAGTTGAAAATAACTTACTATTATAGACAGATTGATTCTACACTATTTATTTTGGTTTTTACAAACTTCTGAAAATTTCGTGGTAATTAGACATTTTGGCAGTTATTTAAGAACAGCGTAGATCTTCTTTTAACCACAGAACTCTCTGGTCCATGAATTTAGGTGATTCCAGCGTATTTTCACCTGAGGGCATTTAACTGGCTAGTGAGTGTAGTACTGAATTTTATTTTTTTGTACTGGTAGGAGATTTAATTTGAGTATTATTATAAGAATATATTTATGGTGCCTTTTACTTTTGCCTTTCCTTGCTTCCATTTATTATTATCGTCAATGTTGTTGAAATTATTTTAAACAAGTTAGAATAAAGGTTGATTGCTTATAATTGAAACACTACTGTCAGTCTGAAGTTTTGTCACTTCATCCTTACTAGAATTGTAGGGGGTGGGGAAAGTTAGCACTCCTGCAGCAAACACAGGCACAAAGGCTTTCTCTCTGGAGTAACTGATCAGGAGAGACATTTATTTTATATTGTCAAGTAACACTTACGCTGCTAATTCTTGACTGTGAAAACTGCTTTTCCTGGGCAATGCTTTTTAAGGAAAAACTTCTTCAGTCCAGTGATTGGTGACTAAGGGAACGATGGAGCTCAGAGGATTGGGCGGGATCTCGGCTGCTAGTATTGACTCCTTATCCAATGAAAAACATTTCCTATTGAGACCCCCAAGAGTTCCCCTGGCCCTCGGCTCCGTCTGCACTTAGGGCCTTTTCTTGTGCCTTGTTTGTTAAAGGCATGCCGGCTACAGCATTCAAAAAGGCCATTACTTAACAAAGGGAAAGAGATAAATATAAATAAGCTCACAATTTCAGAATGAGCAGTTTGCAGTAAGAAGCTGCAGCAGCACCGCGTCTCTACTTTGTGCTGAGCTAACCTTTCCCTGTTAAAAAAAATAAATAAAGGAGTAATATTGCGCTTCTAAAAAGCGAGTTGCCAGTTTACATGTTTATTAGATAATTATCTACAGGCATGAGCACACTGTCTCATCTAGCACACTCTTTTTTGGGGTAAGTCTCTTTGAGAAAGATTTGATTTGGGCGTTTGGGGGTGGGGGATGGCGAAACAGTGGGAACACTGAAGCTTTGAGTGTCGGGGGAAACAGGGATACTGTGTGTTGAATGGTTAAAAAGGCAAGAATTTCTGTTGTTTTGGCAATAGTATAGTTTTGTGGAAGCGATGTAGGATTTTCAGGGCGTTGTTTCATGTAAATATAGTTGTTCTTAAGAGCTGATTTAAAGTCACAAAGTAGAGCAATTTAGAAACTCTTTTGGCTAACTTTATTTTGCGTTTCGAGTTGATTTGAGCTAATGTGGCTTCTATTATGATGAGCGTTTTTCTAGTAAAACTATACGAGACATGTCTTTGATGCTTACTAGATTTATGGGGAATGTGACATTTGTTATATTGAATAATTCATGAATATGACCATAAAGAAGCATTTCAATGCAAAGCTAATTTTGGCATAAATTGAACTCGATATTATAAGTAAAGTGAATCTGTTTTTCATACAAATACAAAATGTAAAATATTAAAAAATCTCTTGCATATCTTGAATATTTTTAAGATTTTTGGTAAAAAGATCTTGTTGGTAAATGCTGAATTTTAGTAATTATATTTTAGGAAATATAACAATGTATTTATCATTATTTCAGCTTGGAAAACACCAGACCAGCCCAGAGAGTAGACTATTTTTGAACTCGGTGGGGGTTATTCACTTTGTGTTAGCTTACCAAATTATATCAGCTTTCTTTTTCCTAGACTAACATGAAGACAACAATAGTAGCCTAAACTCCCACATTATCCAGTGACTTTCAAGCATGTTTTTTAAATCCAAGCTCTAGACATATATCCATTAACATAGATCATAAATCCTTTTCTCTTGTCACAGATGAAAAGTTGCTCTCTGTGAAAAAGGGTATTTCAGCTGATATACTTGATGGCTTTTTACACTCTAAAACATCTCCTGCCTATCAGAGATGCAAATGAAAGCCCTATTGGAACAGTCAGACTGGGGTTGCCCTGAACAAGACCAACAGTTCAGATTGTGTCCTCTAAATTAAAGAGAGGGCTGGGAAGATGACTCATAGCAACACTCAGGCCAAGTTTAGTGAAAGCTTCATCTATTCAACCCTTTTTGACAGAAAATCTAGTGAGAACTGTTGTCCTTGCTGTGGTGTCAGGGCCCAGTTGTGCAGTTGCCTTTTTTTTTCTCTGTGTGTGTGGTCATAATGTATATACTGCTCTTGGCTGTCATGTTGGGGGCTGAACCTATAATGTATTTGTGAATATTCATATTGAAAACTGAGAGCATAGTAGGAAGTCACCCAGCACTGGGAATCCAGCTGGACTTTTCCTAGATCAATAATTAGGTTATCAAAATAATGCATAGAATACTTAGTTTACTGATTCTAAATGGTCATGTTTTGAAATATCTTGATACCCTTAGGAGAGATGTGACTACAGAACAGATTGAGAGGGTTGAGGATTGACTGGACAGTTAGAACTGACATGCCTGCTGATACAAGGACAGAGGATGAAAATGAGGATTTTAGGAACACTAGAATATATAAGTGACATCTTGATTGTGATTCCTACTTTCTAGCATTAAATAATATTTACTTCTGATGGTAGTAAAATAAATATAGTGATAATTATATTGACTAATACGATTAATTCTTCTTTTCTCAGACTTTGATGTCTTAAAATTTCTATTTTGCAGTGACAAATGGGAGCAGGTGAAAACAAAGGACAGGAGGGAACAGCTAGTGAGGCCACTGCCATAGCACCAGTTGAAGGCTGCTGTCAGTCAAGGCCAAGGTGGAAGGAGAAGAATATCTGAAGTCCAGAAAGGGATATGACTTACTTCCTCACAGTTAGATGGGGCTGTATGTGATTATATTGATTAACACCAACTACGAAAACTTCTAGGTATTTGAACTTCCTAGTTTTCTTGGATTCCAAATAAAAAGAAGTTTTCTTTATAATCTGTATCAGTAGTGAAAGCCAAAAAAGAAATAATGTAAATATTTCTTCTTCCTTTGAGATATATCAATAAAATAGTATTCATACTATTCTAGGAATACTGCTCTATGAGTGTGAAAATCAATTCTCCTTAATATTAAGGTCATCTATTATGTTTTAAATTGTTTAACACATATTTTTTTTTCCTTTAGATTAGAGCAAATTATTTCAGGAGAGTTGGAGTATGATTTAGCAGTTTGCTTTGTTTAGGCTACTTTTGTTCAGAAGAGTATTAGATATGATAGTACTGTAAGTTTGACATTAGCCAATGATTCAACTTTACAGACAGTACATGAGTAAGTTTCAAAGTCAGGTACTTGTAACAATTCCATTGCAGAATATTTCTGGTTCTATGTAAATATTTTGTTCAGCATTCTGATTAGAAAATATCAAAATATATCATATTGGGTAGGCCTAGGATATCACTAGAGACTGCAGTGGTTGTCACTCAGTAATTGAAGCCTTGTTCTTCTAACTGTAGTGCAGAGGAGCACGGAATCATACAGGTGGGGGTCTAGCTTAAAGACAAGGTTGTACCCGTCTACTTTCCTCTTGTTCTGTCTGGCCCCCTGCTTATTAGTCACAGTTTTCCTGGGGAAAAAGAAAAGAAAAAACAAAGAACCAGTGTAACTTCAGGTGCCAAGAGAAAACTCCTTTATTCAGATATTTTTAAGGTAATGTATTACCATTTGAAATGGTGAACTTTTCTATTTTTTGATGTCACTAGTTATGTTGAAGTTATTATTATAGTTTCTACAGATGTGTGGACTTTATGCTTTCAATATAACTAATAAGATAGAATAGTAAAATAAAGGCTAGCAGTGATAATTTTGGAAAATCAAATTTATGTGCAATTCTGTAATAATAATTCCAGCATATTTAGATACCACTTTAAAATATTCTGCTTCTCATTTACTCTGATTTATATAATATATTAAATTATTTTATTATCTTAGTATAAATTTTAATGAAACATTCTTTTCATGACACACTACTGTGACTGGTTCTATTTCATAACATCAATTCATAGTACGAAATAGGTAAACATGGTACTTTCAGAAAGTTGATCTATTATTCTAATCTCAGATAAAATTGCTATCAGAATTTGTTTTCAACAATGTGTATCAATTTCCTGGTAATAGCTTTCTCAAAATTGTTAATTTCATTCTCCACCTTTGTAATAACCAATACTTTTGGTTTATTACAGACTATGTAATCTAAAAATCATGAATAGATGTAGGATTTTTTTTAAGATTTATTTATTTATTCATACAGAACTGGGGTACAGGCCAGAAGTGCGGAGCTGTGACAGGCTTCACCAGACACAGAGTGGGGCGCAGACCAGGCAGATCATTGAATTACACTGCTGAGTAGAGCAGAGGGCGGGTTAGGAGAGGTCTGCTATGCCATGTGGATCACTTCTAGGGCAGGCGGGTGTCAAACTCATGCGGAAGTGGATTTAGCTTCTTAGTGCTCTACTTTAAACCGCTGTGCCACCAGGGAGGGCCCAGATGTAGGATTTGTAATGTTTATTGTAATGCAGATAATTTTGCTGTAGATGTTCTTTGGTTTAAGGCATGGTTTTTATTCATATTATCGGTTTAAGTACCCAGATATATCAGATGAATTGATATGCAAATTGATAACTGATTTCCCTGTTCAAATATATGGAATAAAACTAAATTCTTAATTGGCATGCATGAGTCTAACAGAATTTGGAAATGAGCTTTTGTAGGAACATCCAAAATTTTTTCCCAGAAGGCTAGGGCTTCTGTTGAGATGAGCTATTGAGTCTCAAGACTAGACATTTCATAATATTAGGTTGAGCAATTTCTCTGCAGTTGTCTTACTCTGTTACTGTTAGGAAAAATTCTACTTTAGTATGCTTGATGCAATCGTTGGCCCCAACATGTGGAGCACTGAAGTACATTATTTTACAAAAATTGGAGAGTGTCATCAGGTGAAGGGTTAGTGGAAGACTAGAGCCTATTTTGGTGTAAAAATATATATTCCAGTGTTGGGTCTGTGTCAGTTTCCTGATCTCCTCAAATAACATGCAGAAAGGGCACAATGCAAACCTGATTCAACATGGAGAAACCATTTTATAAAGCCATTTTAGTTCTTGCTTCAAAAATACATGAACCTAATTCATCTAATAAACATTTGATACATAGGAAGGCTGGTAAGGGGGCCTGATACAGATCAATTTCCTAGCATAGCTCTGGAATGAAATGTTTACCTAGGTTTCTTCCATATGTAAAGTCATGAGATTCAGCTGTGCTTTGAAAACTGTTATGAGATATTAACCAATGAATAGGAGCATCAATTAGAACCATGTGTATAACTGTGATCTGTGCCTGTGACTTGGCCTAGAAGATTTCCTTAAGGAGTCTTATCTGTTAGCGATCACTCATTTGAAGAGCAACAGTCTGGAACATATTCCCTATTACATACAGCAGGGTGGTTTTGAGCTGTATTTTTGGCAACATTTTTGTATTTTTTAGTTTTCTTCACTGCTAGATATTTATAGGCAAGGACACAATAGACTTTGGCTTCCTCTGAAAACTATTGTGTCAATGTTCCTAAGCTTCTCTGAGAGCAGAAGGAGAAGTACTCTGGGGATCAGTATTTCTGACCTGACACAGCTCATTGAAAAGGAACCGAAGCCAGTGAATTTGAATATATTCTGCTTTCAAGGCCTTGTCTTCTTGAAGCCTTGATAAAATAAGCCAGTCTTTCTAGGCTAATAGGCATATATCAGAAGTTAGAGCTTTCTTTTTAATGTATCATCTGAAAATTTAGCATTTAGTGAAGTACTTTGAAGTACTCATCATTATAGGGCCAAAACACTGACCAACCTCACTTCTGTAGGAGCCCCAAGTCCCCAAACATGGTATATTTCATTATCATTAGCCGTTTTTTAAAAAGAAAAATGAACATTTTTATGATCTGTCCGAACTGGCTCCATATATGTAGGTCAAAGTTAAAAATTCATCAAGTGTCAGATTTCTCTTTGGTCATCCTCCAGGTGACCTGTTCTCTGTCCATTGTCAATAAAAATATACATACTCAACACTCTGAATCCTCTAGATGACTAATTGTTGGGATAACTAGCTACAAAGGTCTTTATGAGACAAGAGTTTAATGTTACTTTCAATGAAAGATGCACTTACTTGTTTCAGCCTACTTTATTCCTTCTTCATTTCATATGAAGCTCAAATGTTGGCCCTTTGACTACATCGAGTGTACAGTATGTTAGCCATTTAGAAAAATCTAGTGGTTAAAAACACTGTTTCTTCTAGTAAAACAAACAAACAAACAAACAAACAAACAAACAAACAAACAAACAAAAAAAACGGAAGCCAGTCTGAAAAAGGACTTTGTTACTTGAACATCACTGATCATCCTTTAAAATCAGCGTAAGAGCCAAAGGCCACTCTAATTTTTTTGTAACATGCTCAGTGAGAGATAGTCCTTTGCCATCACCCTCCTGGATTTTCCTGGTATGGGAAAATTGTATATCCCTCTGAGGGATAAGGTATACTTGATGTTAAGAGAAGGCTATTCCGCTAATATGAAGTTCGGAAAGCGAAGAGACAGCGACAGAGGTGTCTGCTTGTGTCATGGGAGGGAGAAGGAAGAAAACTTGTCTAATGTTTCTTTGTGGTTAGGTCGGGCTCGAAGCTACTAAGCCCTGTTGAATCTTCCTAACCTCAGCTGTGAGGCTCAGAGGTAATGTTTATACAGGGAAGAGAAACAGCACAGCCAAGTTACAGAGTGAACCGCGTCTGAGTCAGAAATAGAACTCCTTGCTTCCAATGCTGTGTTAAGTCCCAGTACCACACCCTCACTGCTAGACAGCAAAGGTGCTGTGTGTTTGAGAAAGGGAAAGCTATGAATAGGGCCACAGTGGCAATTTTCCCATGCTCTCTCTTCAGGATTGAAGACTGTAATGCTTTCTTATTTGTGACTCTTTCTCTCCCACAGGATTTGGTTACTCAAAGCAGCAAAACAGAAGTGCCAGGCATTTGCAGACTGCCTGCTGTGGGTATAGTGTATATGTTATGGGAGACATAAAACTGAATGGAAAGCTGGACAAAACCTAACCTATTTGGAAAAAAACAATCTTGTAAAGTACAAAGTAAAAGCAGGGAGCTAGATACGTGTTGTGTCAGAGGGTCAGTAGTGGGCAGACTGGAAGGATTCTGGGCAGAAGTGAAAAGGCTTCTATTATGAATACATTTTCCAAGTAAAATAAACATTTTGGGCAGTCTTTTTTGACGGCAGGTGCAAGCAGATCATAGTGAATGAAGGTTGCCTTTGAAATTAGTTTTGTCATTTCATTATTTCTTTAGATTGTGTGACTATATTAAAGGGACATTTCTTTGACTACATTTCTTTCAACAGTGAAAAATATTGGTCTAATAGAAAGTGGGGGTATTAAAAGTAGTATCTAAAGTGGTTTAAGTAGTCGAAAAGTTAGCTTCTTTTTCCTTCTGTCAACCCTATTGGTGCAACAATCTGCAGAAACTTGGTACTGCAGCTCCAAAACCGAGATAGGAACCCCAGTTAACTGAGAATTTCCATGCTCTGTTTGTGCTGTTCTGCTTCAGTAAACACAATGATTACATACTTTTTTTTTTCTGAGATAATTGAAAGGAAAAGATGGGAGCAAGGTAGAGAGAACAGGATTGGAGTTCTCACTTTCTCTCTCTCTCTCTTTTTTACCTTTTTCTTATTTTCCAGGTTTTTTCCTTCTCTGATAATTTTCTGTCTCTTTTCCACCCTCTCCACTTTCTTTTACTACTTCTTAGTGTGACTTCCCCCCTTCCCTCCCGGACCTTACCTGGTAATGGTTTCCTACTAATTTTTGGTTATCAAGATTGCTTCTGGCAAAAGTTGAATTGGGCTCATGAGACTAAATGTCCAAGAAGGACAGGTTCAGAGGAGCCACTCCATAAAGATTTATTGACTGAGTATTCAGGAATAGTAAATTTCTAATTTGATCTTTAAAGTTATACCCATTAAAATGATCGCTTTTTGCTTTACATGCTGTAGTCTCCACGGTCATTTCTCCCTTTAGGCACTTCAGTGGGTGATTTATTTTTTCTCAAGCCAAGCACTAGTTGACATGATTTCAGGTCTTTATATCCTTGGCAGGTTCCCCCTCCTCTCCTTTCACTGTTATATACAGAGACTCTGACCTGAGTTGAAGGGTAAAAGTGACATAAGGAGGAATCACTTCAGAGAAATGCTTTTCATATTTCAGAATGTAATTATGTGAAAACCCATTAATGGATATGTCAGAGGACAAAGACCACTTCTATTTCATATCCTCTTCATTGAAAAGAAATCATTCAGCAGTTACTTCTCCGTGGTGTTTTATAGAGTACATTTGAATACATTATCTGCCCAATGGCAGCTGTTGTCCTATAAAAAGTTTAGTAAGATTTTCATATGCACCTTTAAACAATGGTGGCCCAGATGCAAAAACAAAAAGATGGCTTAGTGAATGATTGCCAAATATGTGAGTGGTGGCAGCTAAGGATATGGAACTGGCCAGATCATGGTGAACAATGAGGCATGGAGATAGTTGTTTGTTAAAACTACCTTTCACATTGCATTTGTATTCAGCCAGAAAAGTCTTTATCGACATTGGCCAGTTTTGGAACTGGAGGCATAGAAGCAACTAACGAAATGGTCAGTAGGAGAGGGAGAATGAAGATACCCTAGGCTTAGATGGCACCACAGGAGAAGCTTGAACAGGAATCACAGTCTGCAGGGGTTGGAGAGGAGCATGCTGATAGTTTCATTTAAATATTCTGGTTGTGAGAAACATAGGTTAAAAAAGTCCTTTAGCCAGAAACTTAATTACTGAGGATTCTTTTTTTTCTTAACTCTTGTTTTAGAAGAAAAGGGTGAATCAAAAATCTGTTTTAGGAGTTTACTCATAACTTTTTAAGATCCTGTTTTAGAGGTCCCATAACCACATTTAGTATTGTGCAATAGGACTAATATACACAAACAGTGAAATTTAGTAATACTGGAGAGTAGCTGATGAAATTTAGAGTAGTTTAATAATCTTTTAGTTAGGAATTAAAAAAAAAAAACCTCTGGGTTCTGATTCTGACTATAGCATTTAACATTTTTTTTCCACTTCTGGCATTATTATAAAAATAAGTGACATAAGCCTCAGTTTTTCTGTGCCTATAAAATGGTGTTTTTGTGGGAATTAACGAAAAACATACTTTTGAAAGCCAAAAAGCACCATGGAAATTTGTAACGATTTATCTATTAAAGCTCCCCTTACCTTTGGTTCCAAAACAACCAACTCCTTATTCTTGTTCATTACAATGCTATAGTATTGCACTTGTATTGAACATGAAATCTCTCACTCCTAAATATATTTTTGTAGTACCTGTTAACAAATGGTAAGTGTTCAAAAAGTGTTCGTCAAACCACACTAAATGTGCAATGTTATCTTCCATTCTGTGTGGGCAGAATGTCGTAGACTTCAGAAACCATGGACAGCAAGGCAGATTTAATGATTCACACCATATTGTGTCTCCTAGGAGGAAAACATTTCCTACCAGGACCTAGTCTCAGAGTGCTGAACCCTGCAGTCAGCAGGCCTTCTGAAACAACAACAACAGCAACAACAACAAAAACCCATGGGTGACAGAAGATTCATTGATTTCCAATTTCAAGATTTAAATTCAAGCCTCAGACCCAGGTTGGGCAATGTTACTGCCAATAATACATGCATTGTTGATGATTCCTTCAAGTATAATCTGAATGGTGCTGTCTACAGTGTAGTATTCATCCTGGGTCTGATAACCAACAGTGCCTCTCTGTTTGTCTTCTGCTTCCGGGTGAAAATGAGAAGTGAGACTGCTATTTTTATCACCAATCTGGCCCTCTCTGATTTGCTCTTTGTCTGCACGCTACCTTTCAAAATATTTTACAATTTCAACCGACACTGGCCTTTTGGTGACACCCTCTGCAAGATCTCTGGTACTGCGTTCCTCACCAACATCTACGGGAGCATGCTCTTCCTCACATGTATCAGTGTGGATCGTTTCCTGGCCATTGTCTATCCTTTCCGATCTCGTACCATTAGGACCAGGAGGAATTCTGCCATTGTGTGTGCTGGAGTCTGGATTCTGGTCCTCAGTGGAGGTATTTCAGCCTCTTTGTTCTCCACCACTAATGTCAACAACGCAGCTACAACCTGTTTTGAAGGCTTCTCCAAACGTGTCTGGAAGACTTATCTGTCTAAGATCACCATATTTATTGAAATTGTTGGATTCATCATTCCTTTGATTTTGAATGTCTCTTGCTCTTCTGTGGTGCTCAGAACTCTTCGTAAGCCTGCTACTCTGTCTCAAATTGGAACCAACAAGAAAAAAGTACTGAAGATGATCACAGTGCATATGGCAGTCTTTGTGGTATGTTTTGTGCCCTACAACTCTGTACTTTTTCTATATGCCCTTGTGCGTTCCCAAGCCATTACCAATTGCTTGTTGGAAAGATTTGCAAAGATCATGTACCCAATCACCTTGTGCCTCGCTACTCTCAACTGTTGCTTTGATCCTTTTATCTATTATTTCACGCTGGAGTCCTTTCAGAAGTCTTTTTACATCAATACCCACATCAGAATGGAATCCCTGTTTAAGACGGAAACCCCTCTGACCACAAAACCTTCCCTTCCAGCTATTCAAGAGGAAGCTAGTGATCAAACAACACAGAATGGCGGTGAATTAACGCTAGAAGCCACTTTCTAGGTACGAGAACTGTATTTAGGGTCAGATATGATTTCTCCTATGATTTTTCCAATGCTATAAGAGAAAAGTGTAGAAGCTGATGATGCTGAGAATAGATAATGTACTAAATACAGTCAGATACATTATTTGAATGTTTACTGTACAAGTGCTGTTTTGTTCAATAATTATAGGTCAGGTCTAATTACAGCAACCAACAGGGATTGCAAAACTCTTCTGGGTTGGAATTTCATTATATCACATTATATAAGTGATCAGTGGTCTTGACCTTAATGATACGCAGATGACTTAAAACTCTGAAAAAGATATTTCTATTCTGGTAATATTTGGTAATTGGTTTGGGCCTATAAATATAGAACAATTTCAGGGATTATTAAAAAATAACCTCTGTGTTACTACTGATATATGCTAGCCTTTTATTTTCTTTTTTGAATTGTCATTGATTTTAGCATAAGAATATATTTTAACCTAAACATTATTGATGCAGGATATGTCAAATTTAAAAGAGCTGGAAATATTTATTGTATATATTTTGAAAGCAGGAAATCAAAAATGTGTGAATATGGCTGAGAACAAACAGAAAATTAACTGGATTTACACATGTGTTATCAGTAGCAGTGTTGGTTTTTAGAAATTTTATTCCTTTTCTAACACTACATTAAAATTTTCATGTGAAACTTCAGGTGTAAAGTGGAAAATCACAAAAAATAATATCCATAAAAAATAAGCAACGCCAACATTATTTTCCTTAAGATTTACTATCTTTCCTTGGAGAGACTGCTTTCTCTGAAATACTTATTCACCATGTGAAATTTTGAAGCACAGTGCAGTTAAAACACTATTGCGTTTGTGTCCAGATCAGAACAAATAGAAAAAATGTAACAACAAAATAACAGGAAAACCTAAAACAGGAAAACAAAAAGTACCTTCTTACTACTTGCATTTATAATTTTTTGTTGCTATTGTTGGAAGAAAGTAGAGACGTATCTATATTTATGAGGCATATAACTTTAAATTACTTATTCTTTCATATTAAATTTTGGAGCACAATGCAAACAGCTGCTAAATTTGTGCCCAAGTCAGGAGCATATTGAAGAAAAAAAATAGATAAGCCAAATCAAATCAATCCAAACAAAAGAGCCAAAAAATAACATAAAAACAGACAAAATAATGAAAACAACAACAACAAAATACTTGCAACAAAATACACTTGCATTAATATCTTATTTATTTTCGAAAATCTTTAAATTTAAAAGTACTGGGTCTTTTGTATGATATTTAACTTCAGGCAAAATTTGTTCCTTGACCCCTTTTTTATCCTCACATTGTACCATAATATTTATTGAATTATTTCTCCCATTGGAGTTTTTTTTTCCTAAGTTGTGTCCAGATCAGGTTCAAACTGGGAAAAAAACAACCTCAAAGCAACCCCCCACAAAATAACAATAACAAAATCCCCAAAATAGAACACAAAAATGTGCACTTTGTCCATTTTTTTGTCAGTGATACTATAATTTTCACTTATGTTTTATATCAAAATGTAGCTGGGAAGCACTAAACTGGTGCCTCCTTCACAAACATATCAATATTTTAAAAGGTACAAAAGAAAACATTTTTATAATTCACTGAACAAAGTCCTGAAAAAGTCTGACTGTTCACTGGGTAAAGTGTAGCTATAAGTACATGGAAATTGGTAACTAAAGCTTCTGAAACACAGTGTAGCTTGAAAGAGGATCGATTTGCTCTCATGTCAAAAGTAACGGGAACAACAACCCTCACATGAAAACTACACATGCAAAATAAGATAACAAAAGTGCTACAGAACAGCAGAAGTATTCTTAAAGTACTCAGTAAGCAATATTCAAATTACTTGGACCGTATGGCAATTTAAAAATGCTAAAACTCTTCAAGTAGAACTTCCAGAAAAAGTGCAACTTGCATGTTGCTGGGCTTATGCCAGAGAGAGCTTTTTTTTTTTTAAAAAAAATTAAAAACATGAAACATAACAAAAAAAGTCAATTTTAAAGAAATAAGCCTTTCTTAAACTCTCACTAACCTTCGTTTTTCTTCTTGATAATTTGTAGCTTTAAAACTACTACGATTCTTGAGTAAAAATCTGTGAGCATAGTGAAACTCTAAAAACTGTTAAACCTGTACCTGCATTAAGAACTGATTTTTTTTTAAATACTGAAATAATATAACAATAATAAAAATGAATTCTCAAAAATGACATTACTTTTCCCTTTGTGATATAAAGTTCTAGAACTAGTCATGTATTATATTTGTTGTGGAAACAGGTTTTAAATGTAACATGTAAAGAATACTTAGGTTTATTAAGATGAAGTTAGGTTTAGGTTAAGTTCATTGTTAGATTGTGTTTAATATCAAAATAGTAATCAAAGTATGAATAACGTTTTTGTTTCTTTTGATATTCTTTCTTTTCCTTTTCATGTAAGTATAAACTATATGTGGACTTTGATTTGTGCCCTTGGATCTTAGAATTATGAAGTTGTAGGGTTTTCACACCAAACCATTTAATGGGATATGTTAACCAAGTTGACAAAAAAAATATCAATAAACCAGTTTCCTTTTGCATATTTATATATTACTTTTAATTTTCCATATTTAAATTTATTTAATTTCCATTTTTACAGTTAATATAATTTGCTAATAATAAAAGCTTTTTCCATATGAACAATGTAACCAACAAAGTGTAATGTATAATTAAATGTAAAACTGACTTATTTTGCATCTAAAAGTAAAAGCAGTCATTCAGCTGTATTACAGCTTGAATTTTAAATGCTTATTAAATGTAATAAAATATATTTGGATTATCTAACTGCTATATTTTGGTTAAGTATTCAACTTTGTCTTTTTTTTGTGGGCACTGAAAGGCATCCTTCCTTTATCTTCTCTCCATCCTTCAAGAAAGCACAATATTAGAGTACATATAATCATAAATCAATTTCAATATTTTATTTTTGAGGCTGTCTGAAAACTAATGCAGAATTGCACATGATAGATCCCTGGGTGACTTTTCAGGCATTAAAATTGGAAGATTAACCACCTCTTTTTTCAAATTGGCTTTGATTTATTTGGAGTTTGAAAGTGAAGATAGAACCTGATTTCTTATATTTAATTAAATATCCTAGGGTAACTGGGATAACTTGGGAAAGTCAGGGAAAACAGACCAAGTGACAGCAATGAGATGAGAATGGAAGTAAGTGGATGACTAAGAAGTACAATAGTTTGTGGTTCCAGAATGATAGTACAAAGTTTCTCTAGCCATTATGTTGATGCCTGAAGTTTCCAAAAGCAATGCATGCATCTCATAAACCAGATTGTGTACTGGTTCCCAAGAGATGATGGCAAATTACCTTTTCTGAAATGATCAGCCTTAGGGTATTTTTAAGATCATAGGAATTTTGTCACTAGTGACCTTCTTAAGGTCCTGGGGGGAGGGAGACTGATGTCCTTTGTTTCTCATTCCTATCTTTCACCTTGGCCTCCATCCCCACACCTCTGTACCGTATGTTTAGTGTGGTTTTTCCAAGCTTTGTGTTCTCAATCTGTATTTCCTGTGACCCTTACCAACATCTCTCTCTGCCTTCTCTAGAAATGTCGCTTCATTGTGGACCCAAAAACAATACATAATCTTCTGTTAAGATAGTGACCAGGATGTGTGAAATCTACTGATTTGATCTCCTCTTTGGCATCTGCAACTCTAGAAAGTCTGAATAGAAAACATAAGGAAAGCAAGAGGCTGCTTAATTTGTATGACTGAGGTAGGGTTGATGACTGTTGTGGTAGATGGTAAATTTACCAGAGATAAATTCAGTAGAGGTTAGTTTTTAATCCTATTGAGTGATACCCAGATAGTTACCATTAAATTCTAAGGCCAAGATTTATTCCTTCTATATTTTGCCTTTGTATTTTTTGGTCATTTTTCTGTTCCACAGATGAGCGAGGCGATCCAGTATTTATCTTGCACTTTCTGACACACTTCCCTTAACACAATCAACTTGAAGTCCACCCACTTTTTGTCTGTATTGTCACTACACCATGCACAGTGCCCAGAAGGTTGTCTGCTACATTGTTCATGTTCAAGAAATTTGTGGAATACATAAATGAGGAATTACTGATTCCTGTGAATTCCTCAGCCAAACTGTTTACCGGGAACTTCAATCTTCCCTAAATGTGGCCTAGTCCAGAAGTTTCAGGATCTCAATTATGAAAAAGTGACCAATGTTTTTGGCCTTTATACCACCAACTTGAGTCAGGAAAGTAACAATTTGAAAAGCAGACAGCTTACCTTACACTAATGATAGGAACATTGTCGGTACTTTGTAAATTGATTTTTATCTATCAGGTTGAAGGTCCTCTATGATCTAGTAGGAAAAAAGCCCATTGCTTCCATCACACAAGTCACCACAATCTTAAAGCCTTTCTGCTTTATACCTCACTGCCACATTTTAGATCTCTTCACTGGCTCCTTACCTCTATGTGCTTGAACTCAGTACGTCTCAGCATGCTGGGAAGAGAAGCACTGTATTCCCAGACCCCCAGAGAAAGATGCAAAGCCGTAAAAATACCTTTTGTCAAAAATCTGAATACATGGGAAATTTTTACAGTTTTAAGTATTTTATCTTCCTTTTGAAACAAGCTGCTTCATATTTTTTTTTAAGATTTATTTATTTGTGCATACAGAACTGGGGTACAGGCCAGAGGCCCAGGGGCGGCGAGAGGCCTCACCAGAGACAGAGTGGGGA